AAGGCGGGGGCTCTGCAGCAGCAGCAGCGGCAGCAGCAGCAGCAGCAGCAGCAGCAGATTCGAGCCCCGAGGGTTTACGAATCTGCAGCCTTTACGCCTGGCTGGACACTTTGCCTCTCTCCCGGCCCAAGCGGAACTTACCCAGGGATTTCGCCGACGGGGGTAAACCCTAAACCCTAAACCCTAAACCCTTGAGTGCTTCAAGCTTCGAAGCACCCAACAAAGAAACCTGCGAGCTCGATGATGGCAAATCCTGAAGAGCAAGTCTGGCCTCTTGGCTCCACGATCGAGGGTTTAGGGTTTAGGGTTTAGGGTTTAGGGTTTGGGTTGCTCAGTGTTGATGGCCGAAGTTGCAAACCACTGCATTCCCCGCATCGCGGACCTCCACAACTACAGGTCGAGCCGAAAATCCTAAACCCTAAACCCTAAACCCTAAACCCTCCTCTGCTCTCCCACCGGTGCAGTCTTACGCAGCTTCTGAGGGTTTAGGCTCTAGGGTTTAGGGTTTGCTGCTGGTTGCAGCACAGCGAACTCCTTCCAGCAGAAGCGCTACAACTGGGAAACCCTCGCAGGTCGGCTGGCCCTAAATTAAGGACTTGACTGAGGGTTTAGGGTTTAGGGTTTAGGGTTTAGAAAAGGGCCCACAGCTTGGGGTTTAGGGTTTAGCATTAGGGTTTAGAGCACACTCGGAGCCCCTTCCCCCGTGTGCGGCCGCCGAAGGCGTTCCAGCCCGAGCCAACTAGGGTTTAGGGTTTAGGGTTCAGGGTTTAGTTTTTAGGGTTTGCATGCAGAAAGGGTGTTTAAGAGAGTGGGACTCAAACTCGGCGCAAAAGAAATAGACCAAGTTGTGGCAGCAAAGCCGGGGGCTGCAGAAAGCATTATTCTGAAGTTCAAACACCGGGTAAACCCTAAACCCTAAACCCTAAACCCTAGAGGCTAGTCTGCAAACCCTCACGCACACGGCCTTCGAACTTGCTGCGCTGCCAACGGCGTGCCAGCGCAGTGGCTCTTTCCCCTGGAGGCTCTAGGGTTTAGGGTTTAGAGTTTAGGGTTTAGGGTTTAGGGTTTGCGCGCAGGCAGAAGCACTGAAGCAGCAGGCAGCGAAAGAGGCGGACTCCAACCCTAAACAGACTCGCTTGACTCGTAAATTTAGGGTTTAGGGTTTAGGGTTTGCGGATCCAGAGGGCTGGCTGTCTTGGATTTGAGGTTACGTCGCGTGGGCAGTCCGATTCGTGCTAGGGTTTAGGGTTTAGGGTTTAGGGTTTGCGCTCAGGGTGCCCACCGCAAGGGTCCCCGAGACCCGTTAGTGAGCAGGAATGGATGGCTATACTGGTAACCAAACCCTAAACCCTAAACCCTAAACCCTAATTATCAGTACTTGACAAACCTTAAACCCTTGAACATCGAAAAAACTGGACGGATTTGATGAAAGCTGTGCGCCCGAACAGTCAAGGCCACGGGTTTAGGGTTTGGGTTTAGGGTTTAGGGTTTAGGGTATGCAGGAACAGAAAGATGCAACTATTCAAGAGCTCGAGGAAACGAACTCAATTTTGGCTGCGAAGGCAGAGAGCTTGCAGAAGCTGCTGCAGCTGCGGGTACAAACCCTAAACCCTAAACCCTAGCTTCCTTATAAAAGGGGTTCAAGCGTTGCTTCGCGGCGGAGAAAAAAAGATTTAGGGTTTAGGGTTTAGGGTTTAGGGTTTGCGCGCTGCAGGATGCGAAGATAGAGCTGCTTACGAAGGCGCTGCAAGCGGCCGCTGCTCCTCCTCCCCAATAAACCCTAAACCCTAAACGCTAAACCCTAAACCCTAGCGACTAAGCTGGAAATGCAAAGCGCCAGCAGGTAGAGGCGCCGCTGCAGACTTCTGCAGGCGCCATCTCCCTGACAAACCCTAAATCCTAAACCCTAAACCCTAAACCCTTTGGCTTTCTTCTGAATCCGCAATGCTGTGGCCCTCGTCCATAGAATCCAGCTGCACAAAACACCACACAGCGCCTAGGGTTTAGGGTTTAGGGTTTAGGGTTTAGAGCGTATTGAAGCGTTTGGTGGTCAAAGGCCAGACACTCTGTGGCAACTCTGCGCGACAGCACTCAGCACTCAGCACTCAGGGTTTAGGGTTTAGGGTTTGCGGACGAGTTGTTCCTTGGAGCTAACGGAAATGCCTTTGAGAAACTCTTTGTCCACATCAATTGCCTTTTGTCTTTTGAAATAAACAAAAACAAAAAAAAAGGAAATTGAAAGCAGCAAGCAGCAAACCGACAGCAGCGCCAAACCTGCAGCCCCACGCGCAGCAGCAAACGAGGGTTTAGGGTTTAGGGTTTAGGGTTTGGGGTCTGGGCTCTGCGGCTTAGACCCAGGCGGCGGCGCACACTGGAAGCCACTGCCAGCAGGCCCCCGCGCTTGGCCGCTCTGAGGGTTTAGGTTTTAGGGTTTAGGGTTTAGGGTTTACAGGGTTTCCATATCCGCGTGGCGTAGCGCATGCCAATGGCGTTGGCCGCACACCACATCCCGAACACTGCGGCTCACGCAAACCCTAAACCCTCGCGAACTCTAAACCCTACCAAGCTCTAAACCCTGACAAACCCTGTACCCTCGCAAGCCCAGACATCATAGAGCACACCCTAAACCCTAAACCCTAAACCCCGTCCCGGGATTCGGCGAATCTAGGGTTTGGGGTCTAGAGGGTGAAGTGCGGTATGGGGCTTAAGGCGACCTAGGGTTTAGGGTTTGGGGTTTAGGGTTTAGGGTTTACGGTTTACCGAAAGACATAAAAAGAGTTATTTCGGTGGTCGTTGGCGCCGCCTCCTGGGCAACTGGGTCGTCGCTGAAGAAAGCAGTAAGCCCTAAACCCTAAACCCTAAACCCTAAACCCTCACAAGTCCAAAGCCCTATATGTTTCTGAGAGGCAGTTAAGGGTTTGTGGATTCGCAATTGTTGAGATTTCCGAGGGTTTAGACTTTAGTGTTATGAGTATAGGGTCTTTAGCCTTAGGGTTTAGGGTTTTGGGTTTTGGGTTTGGCCTGCATGGGGGCTTTGGAAGAAAAGAGGAAATAAAGAGTATAGGACGTCGACGCCTAGGGTTTAGGGTTTAGGGTTTAGGGTTTGGCCTACATGGGGGCTCTAGAAGAAAACAGCAAATAAAGAGTGCCTCTAAAAGGATAGCGTTTGCCCATGCGGATTGAAGTGATAAGAAACATAGTGCTGCTGTAGCTGATGACGACGATGGCCTGAACGCAAACCCTAAACCCTAAACCCTAAACCCTAGGGGCCAAACCCTCGGCCCCAGAGCCCACCGCCTCCAGCCCGCCTGCCCGTCCAGCCCTCGGCCCTCAAGAACTTCCTGCGCAGCATTTAGGGTTTAGGGTTTAGGGTTTGCTTGTGCGCCTTTTCCGCAGGCCTAGGGTTTAGGGTTTAGGGTTTAGGGTTTACGTAAATATCTTTGCCGTTGTTTATAAGATAAATTAAAGACATTATCAGCTGCGGCAAATCTTCAACGAGCCGCATCAGCAGCTGAAAGGTCCACGTCAGCCGCTCAAACATAAACAGTGCCTGAATACAAACCCTAAACCCTAAACCCTAAACCCTAAACCCTAATGCTAAACCCTAAAGCCTAGCTCCTGAGCGGCGGACGCAAAACCCCAGGCCCCTGCGCTCGTCAGAGGCTCACTAAAAGACTGCCAAAAAAGCAGCTGCGCAGCGGTGGTGTGCTGCCTAGGGTTTAGGGTTTAGGGTTTAGGACCTGTGGGCACTGCACTCCGGCGCGCTTTATTTCGTTGAAGACGGCAAAGGGCATGAAGAGACGCAAACCTGAAAACGCAAACCCTAAACCCTAAACCCTAAACCCTTAGCTTTTGCCGGCCACCCAAAAGCAGGCAGCTCCCAGCAGAGCAGCAGCAGCAGCAGCAGCAGCAGCCCCCTCGCTCGCAGCTGCAGCAGCAGCAAAGTGTCGAGCAGTAGTCCCAACAACAACACCATCAGCAGCAACAGCTACAGAAAGAAACAGCAGCAACAGCAGCAGCAGCAACAGCAGCAGCAGCAACAGCAGCAGCAACAGCAGCAGCAACAACAGCAGCAGAAACAGCAACAACAACAACAGCAGCAGCAGCACCAACAACAGCAGCAGCAGCACCAACAACAACAGCACCAACAGCAGCGGCAGCAGCAGCAGCAGCAGCAGCAGCTCACTGTCTCCCTTGATTCTGTGGTAGATGATGTATCTTTTGGAAAAAGTTGCTGCTAGGGTTACGGTGTACGTACAGCTCAGCCACAGCAGCACGAAACGGACACTCCGCAGTTCATGAAAAGGCCCTCTTCTCCAGAGGACGAGCGAAACCCTCAAAATGAAAAACAAATCTGCAAAACCCTCCAAACCCTAAACCCTAAACCCTAAACCCTAAACCCTTGAGCCCACAGCTGAGGCGCGGCAGCGACTGCCAAAGGCCCCGCAGCGGGCGCAGGCGGCGCGCTAAAGCCCAACTCCACCACGCCCTAGGGTTTAAACCCTAGGGTTTAGGGTTTAGGGTTTAGGGTTTAGGGTTTGACCGTTGATCATGTCGAAGTGGTCCAGGGCTTCTATCAGCAGCAACTTGGCCTGTCTTTGCTTCACTGCGTTGCCTCCGAAGAAAAAGGGAATAGTGTTTTTCAAAAAAGAAATCCAACCTTCGGGGGTTTCGGGGGGCTCGCTCTCCTAAACGCAAACCCTAAACCCTAAACCCTAAACCCTAAATCCTGGGCGGCGCGGGCGCTGCGGCGGCGGCGGCGCTGCGGGCCGCGCACAGCTCGCCGCAGCACAGTGCAGCTGCGCCGCAGGGTCTAGGGTTTAGGGTTTAGGGTTTCGGGTGCGGCGTCGAGGGTTTAGGGTTTAGGGTTTGGGTCAACACCGAGGGTTTAGGGTTTAGGGTTTGGGGTCTGCTTGCCTCTTCACTGAAAAAGCTCTGGCTCGACACTCCAGACCACATCACCGACTGGCGCCCGGCCCCCCTGACCACAAACCCCAAACCCTAAACCCTAAACCCTAAACCCTAGGTGCCAGCAGCTTGTCGAGAGCAGGCTCTGGTAAAGTCAGGGACAGCAGCTTATCCAGCTAGGGTTTAGGGTTTGCGAGAGCCAGGGTTTAGCGTTTAGGGCTTAGAGTGTAGGAAGTAGGATGTAGAGGTTTGCTCTAAAAAGAGGGCTAAAAGGGTTTAGGGTTTAGGGTTTAGGGTTTGGGGTTTAGGGTTTAGGGTTTGGGCCCACCAGACACTGTAGCGGGGACTCCCCGCAGGACGGTATTCATCGGCGGGAGCTGTGGGACAAAACCCTAAACCCTAAACCCTAAACCCTAAAATGTAATTCGTAGGGCTGCTGGGGAAGGAGTACCACTACGAATCTAGGGTTTAGGGTTTAGGGTTTAGGGTTTACAAAAGCTTTCGGGGCTTGCGTCTTCTATGTTTAAAAGGAATGACTGCAGCTCTTCCGGGCTGGGGGTCCCTTGTGACCCCTCGAGCGTTATGCTAGCATCACGCTGCTGCTGCTGCTGCTGCTGCTGCTGCGGCTCCGGGTGCTGCTGCTGCTGCTGCTGGTGGCCAGCAGGCTGTTGTTCCTGCTGCTGCTCCTGGTCAGCGTGTTGTTGTTGCTGCTGCTGCTGCTGACGGTCCTGAAGCTCCATCATCTGCACCGGGTTTCAGGCGCATATGCTGTTGCTGCTGCTGCTGCTGCTGCTGCTGCTGCTGCTGCCGCCCAGGGCAGCGGTCGCTGTCTGAGTCGCTCACCGGCTTGCTCGCAGTGAGTTTGCTGCTGCTGCTGCTGCTTGCTCTGCTTCTGCTGCTGCTGCTTCTCCACGCCTGCTGCAGGGTCGGCGTTGCTGCTGCTGCTGCTGCTGCTGCTGGAGGATTTGTGGCCCCTCTCTTGTCTGTGGGCTGCTGCTGCGGGCTTCTGGCTGCAGCTAGCTGTGGCTAGCTGCGGCTAGCTGCAGC